TTCCGTAGTGATACTGCCTCGGAAACCCAAGGAGGGGTCGCTATGAGTCGGGGCCGACTCGATGGCAAATAACAACAACAACAAATCCTTAGAACAATCAACCATGGAAGATCAAGAGGGCAGTGTTTGCACTGGGAGATAGCTCAGAGGGCAAGAATGCATAGGAAAGAAGGAGGGGGGAGGAGGTAACCTTGGGGAGGAAGTGGGAAGAAAGCTGTTATTTTGTGGGGATTGCAACTAATGTCAGGAAACAAAATGTGTATGAGCTGTTGAATGGAAACAAATTTGCTCAGTAAACTTTTACCCAAATCACAATAAATAAGAAAACACAACATTATTTGAAATATGGGAATTAGGCACGTTCCTATTACATTTGCCCTTTATAACTGCTACTTCTTGAACAGAAACCTGAAAATTTACGTTTCTTGCAACCACTTTGCCCTTTAAAACTTGAAACAACAACAACCAGAGAGAGAGAGAGAGAGAAAAGATAAACAGGAGAGGAAAGGAAACACATAGTAGATGACAGTAACATGAGCTTCGTGGATTTGCTGAGTGACTCTCTCTACTTCTAGACAAAAGCTGAAGTAGGTAGCTTTCCTGAAAATTTTTCACAAAATGAGACATTTGCGAGTTTCTCAATGCTTGCCTCTTAGAAGAGAGTGAGACTCACAGTCTTAAATATTGTTGGGCCGCATCATTATTTGATGCTACCGATGAAAATACAGAACGAGAAGTTTCTGTGGAACAGATGCGGTTTATCGCGGGGCCAACGGAAAATTTATTTCTGTGAACAAATTCCGATGATAATTTGTTTACCCCTGGGGTTTTGTTTTTTGTTTACTAATATTAATGTTTCATTCTTAACCTGTGAACTAAATGAGGCTGTCTTTGTATATTAAGTTTTCATTTTGCGCTACTTGTGCCCAAACCCATATTCTCGGTTGGGAGATCCGTAACCAGAACCTAATTTAGCTATTGATGCAATGGAATTTATGGGATGAAGTATGCTACGCTGATTGGTGTTGCTGTATTTTCCAATTAAAAAGATGACATAAACATACTTGTATCCTAGGTGACTGCTACGCTGAGAAACTTGGCTGATTCACCACTAACAAGAAGTAAGCTCCTGAGCCTCAGTGCCCTTGCTGAGTTCTGTACTGTGATGGAGCAGTACACGACTGACCCGGATGTCTGTACCAATATCGCCAGAATATTCAGGTAGGGAGGGAGGGAAACAAGAAAACAACCTTACAAACCTTGCTTAGATTTTGGGTGATCTTCAATTGTCATGTGTGTTACTGTCAAGAAGTCCTCTTTTTGCTTTTTATTTCACCTACAAAAAAAGATAAATCTAGTGGCCCTTGTTTAAAATAAATGATTTAAACTTATGACTCCATTTCCTACAATCTATTTCTAAAATCCATTTCTAAAATCATTTATTGTAAGTCACCTTTGTTCATTGGTGAATTGTGAGTTACACACACAGAGACAGACACACACACACGCACACACAGAGACACACATACAATTTACCTCTTAGTTGGAGATTAAAACAAACAAACAACAACAAAAAAAAACTATACCACAAAATGTGGCATGCATTCTGGTACACTTGGAAACAATACTTTAGCATTTTAACCCAAAAAGGAGACTACTGCTTAGGAAGTCTAATCTGACTTGATTTGTAACAGTTTATTTTATTTCAGTGATTTTAATGAATTTAGGCTCATGATTATCCACTCACTCACTGCTGTTGAGTCAAATCTGCCATAGCAACCCCCATTGGGTTTCTAAGGCTATAAATCTTTACAGAAGCAGACTGCTTCATCGTTCTTCCACAGAGCAGCTGGTGGATTCGAACCACCAACCTCTTTGTTAGCAGCCAAATGCTTTAACCACTATACCACCAGAGTTCCTCAGACATTCACTAGTCATGCTTATACTTACTTTACCCCCAGAAGTGGCGATCATTTGAATCCAAGTTGCCTTAAAGCCAAATGTTACTAAATTTCAGAGATGTCTTTAAATTTTGTGATTGTACTCCCTTCCTACTCTTTGCCAGTATTTTTACATAATGGTCCTTCTCAAAAAGAGAAAGGCCTTTCTTAAACTATGGTGGTGTAGTTGTTAATGGAAATAGAAGACTCCCCCAGGACTGAATTGGTAGTTGGCTTCTGTGTGAGAATGTGAGTCCAGATTGGATCTTTGAGCACCATCCTTTTAGGCATCATTCTGAGCTTTGTTCTGGATACTTAAATCACTCCCATTTGAAGCACTATAAAATTATAACATGTTTATTACTCTGAGTGGTGGCATGTATAGGGGTCCAATTTTTTTTCTCCATGAGATAGTCAATTTTCCCAGCATTGTTTATTGAATATGCCATCCTTTTCTCACTGATTTTTAAAACATTGTTCATATAGTAAAACCAAACCAAACCAAACTCACTGCAATCAAATCAATTCTGACTCATAGTGACCCCCATTGGGTTTCCAAGGCAGTAAATCTTTTTTTTTTTTTTTCAGTCTTTTCTTAAATTATTTTATTTTATTGTGATTTGGGTGAAAGCTTGCAGAGTAAATTCACTTTCCATACAGCAGTTCACACACACTTTGTCTCATGACGTTGACCAAAATTTACCCCCATGCAACACCTCCCCTCCTACTTCCTCCCAACAGTTACCTCTTCTCTGTATCCATTCCTCCACATACTCCTGCCCCTTGAGCTGTCTCCCTGTGCATAAACAGCCTTCTTTTTCCCATGATTGTTCTCTCTAAGGAGTGTATCTACCTCAGCTCATATGCCTGTCTTTTGTTTGGCTGGAAGCCACAGGTTTGGGTTCAATTCCAGACCTGAAGGGCAGCTAGGGACTATAGTCTCAGTGGTTCCACCAGGCTCTATCAGACCAGCAAACCCGGGCTGCCCACCCACCCCCGCTTTTTTTTTTTTTCCAAATGATTTTGAGTTTTGTTCCACATTGTTCTCCCTCTCTATCCAGGATCTCCTACATAGATCCCCCTCTGAGTGGTTGACATGGTAACCAGGCACCATCTAGTTCTTCTGGTCTTACAGTCGTATAGGCTGTGCAGATCACATGGTGTACCAGTCACTAGGACTAATTGTTTCCATGAATCTTTGGTTTTCTTCATTCTTCTTGGCTCTGGACGAGGAGAGACCCATCGTTGCATCTAGATGGCTGCTTGCTAGCTTTTAAGATCCCAGTTGCTACTTGCCAAAGTAGGAGGTAGAACAATATTTTGTGTAGTATGTTATGCCAATTGAGCTTGATGTCCCTTACAACTATGGTCCCGAGCCCACAGGTTTAACTACTTGGTCCCTCTGGGTAGCTGGCTGTGACCAAGCCGTGACTACAAACTTGCCCCTTGTCAGCTCTACTATACACCTGGGAATTCTTACAGAACATATACAAATACACTTGTAGAAACATTGTCTGCCAGCTCTATACTTGGTCTTGGGTACACTCCCTGCTGCACAGCATACCTAATAGTTCAGCCTGTCTACCCATCTATCCACCCATATACCCATGTTTACCTTCACTGACAACACAGTACTGTATGTACAAAAGGGTTCATCTTTGGTCTCTGAACCTCCCATGTACCTCACAGAGTTTGTTTTATATTCAACATTTTGTGTACATTTGGTTTCACTCCCTAATTACCATTCCCAACCTTAACCTACTCTCTACCCTTCCCTTCCCAGTAACCTCCACCCTGCGCCCCTCATAGTTATGCACTCCTGTGTCTCTTGCATTTCCTCCATGTGAATGTTGCCCCTCTGGTGCCCCGTAGTCGATTGCTCCAAGGGATGTATCCCATAGAGTATGTGGGTGTGTCACCCTGGGTTGAGTGGTCTGTGTGTAAGTCTTATTTACTATTGGGCTGAGAGTCAGCCCCTAGGAGGGAGTTTTATTCCAGGCCTGAAGTGTATCCCAGGGCCACCAACCAGTAATTCTGGTAATTATTGTGTTTTTGGATTTTGTTCCATGTTTTCCCTCCCAGTCTATCCAGGATCTCCAGTTTTGATCCTTTCTTAAATGGTTGGCACCATCTAATTCTTCTGGTCTCGAGGTCCGTCATGTGCTAGGGCTGATTGTTTCCAAATGCCCTTGGGTTTTTGGACTCTTCTTTGCTTCTGATGATAGGAGACCATTAGCTGCATCTTAGGTGGCCTCTCGAAAGCTTTTAAGACCTCAGTCACTACTCCCCAATGTAGGTTGTGGAACAAGATTTTTATGTATTTTGTTGTGCCAGTTGAGTCTGGTGTCCCCCAGTACTGTGGTCCTGAGTTGGTAGATCTGTTGGATCTCTCTTCCACAGTGCCTGGCTATCTGTGAGGGATTGCTCTATGTTCCGAGGCAGTAAACCTTTATGAAAGTAGATTGCCCAGTTTTCCTTCTGTGGAGCAGCTGCTGGGTTTGAGCCACCAACCTTCTGGTTAGCAGTCACATCCCTTAGGCACTACACCACCAGTAAGGTCCCATAATTTGTAGATATGTTCCTAGGTAATCTACTCAGTCCTATCTTCAGACCAATACCACACTATTATTGTAGTTTTAGATTAACTCTTGCTCTCATGCAAGATGAATCCTTTACCTTTTTCTCCTTTAAAATGATCTAGACTCTCTTGTTCATTTCCTTGCTTATGAATTTGGAAATTAGCTAGGGTCCATGATTTGGGATTTCTAATGAAAGAAACTACACTGGATAGGTAGATTAATTAGGATGGGAGTTGGGAGAATAGACATGTTTATGATATTGAGTCTTTGATCCATAAACACTTATGAGGTCTTCTTTTATTTCTTTCAATAAAATTTTACAGTTTTCTCTATGAAGATCTTGCACATCTTTTGCTACATTATTCCTAGATTCTTCATGGTTTTTGCTGTCATAGTGGATGTAATGTTAAAAAATTAGATTATTTTCTATAGGTTGTTGCTGGTATATACAGTAGTATTGATATTTTCTTATTGATCTTGTACTCAATAGTCCTGCTAAACATTAAATCTAAGAAGTTGTCTATAGATTCTCTTGTATTTTCTATGAAAATGGTCTGCAAATAAGAATAATTTTGTTTTTTCCCCAATTATTGTAACTCTTCCTTCTTGCCCTCACCTTTTTCTTATTGAATTGCTTAGGATGTCCACTATAAAGTTGTGAGAGTGTTGGCCTGCTGCTTTTCCCCTATTTTAAAGGAAAAATTTTTATTTTTTCACCAGATGAAAATAATGTTTGTCCTAGGTATTTGTAGATAACCCTTGAAGGTTAAGTAAGAATTTTTCTCATTAGTGGATGTTAAACTTTCTCAAAAATGCTTGCTGTGAGTTCCGGCAAGATGGCGGACTAGGCAGAAGGATTGCACAGACCCTCTTCAACAAAGAAAAGGGAAACCAATTAACACAGACACAGAAGATAATCGTGGACCCCTGAGCCTTGAAGGAAAGGGTACAGAATTGGACTAAACCCCAATTAGCAGAAGAATTTGCGTGAAAATACCAAAAAAAGGAGACAT